ATGGCCACGAGGACTTACCTTCTCTGCAAGCCACGCAAGTATTTACGTTGACCACAAACCATGTGACTTATCAGAAATATTTGAGTGACTTAAGCAACTGAAATTACCTGGATGAGGTCTTGAAAATGGTCCATCTTTAGCTTGTGTAACTCCGAAACACAGGAAAACCAAAATACTGGCGACAATACCTCTGCAAGTGAAAAACAGATCCAAGTGTTTATATTGCACCATCTTCCTAATTAAACTGTAAATTATATTCTGATGTAAAAAACATCTGCTCTGTTTCTTAACTACTAAACACGTCAATCAAAGAGATGCCTTCTGGAGGTTATCTCTCTTTCGGGGAAAGGGGTATAAATCCCTACATTTTTAGGCACGGTTTCGTGACAGACTGCCTCCAGCCCCAAAGCTTCCTCCCTTTCTCCATTATCAGCACTCTTCCACCCCTTCCATTCCACTACCATTTCCTCACGTCCGGCCAGCCAGAGGAGCCTGATCTGGCTGAGCACTCGCCCAGTGAAACCAAAGCAATTCCTTGGGCCCCGTGATGGTCACGAGATGCGCAGGAAGCAAGCGGCCCCTAGGTCTTGGAGAAGCTTTTATGCCCACTTGGTCAGAAAGACCCTTCCAAGTCAGCAGCGAGAAAGCTAAGTCAGAGCGCTTCTTGCTGCTCCAGTAAAATTTCCATGAAACTTAGAAATGACCTGTTGGACTTGTCACCGCTCCAGAGCGCGTTCTTTGTCAGCTAAAGACAAGGAGGAGCTTGTAAGGCCAAACCAGCACTGGTGCTATTTCAGAAGCTGGAACCATAATACAGAGCCTAACAGAAGGTAACAGGCATTAAAGGAAAAAATAATTACAGACCACGAGCCCAAGCGTACCAAAGACCCACAGCCTCATCCCAATACCCTCAGCCCAGACCAGCACAGTTTTCTTATCCCCAGCAAGGAAAGGCCTAAACAAGGGCTGCCAGAGTCCTGCCGTCCGCCTCCTTCCAGGCTACCGGAACGAGGTGGTGCAAGGACGGACCCGGCCGAAAACCAACCGAGGGAAAAAGCAGCTCCTGCTCAGCCTGCTCGGCTCACCACTCCCCGGGGAAGGAGCACAGCAGCCCCGGGGTAAGGCTAAACCCTCAGCTTAAGCTGACGGGAACTGAGCCCGTAGGGGCAGGCTGAGGGCTCCTGGAAGAGCTCCTGACTGAGCAAACAGCAAACGCAGCAAGCGACACACAGGACCCAGGCTTTCAAACCTGCTAATTACCTGCAGTAGGTTTTCCACAAGGCTTTGCTTTGCAACTCAAAGAAAACCAACGCCTGCCCCTTGCCGTTGGGAACACCGCTCCTTGAGCATGTGGAACAGACCCGAAGGAACCAAGGGGCGGCTGAGGTGCGGGAGGTCTGGCATTTTCATTCCAAAGTACCTAACATCGACTTAGGATTCTCCCGAGATTTTACGTAATCGAGACTTTAAACATCCCACGTGAATAAACGCGTTTCTCTTTCGGGGGCCACAGCTTGTTTTTCATGAAGATGAGGCCCCATGGTCTATACCTGGGCACGTTCCTTGAGGCTGAATGGATGAAAGGCGACAGCGCAGTCCAGAACTGCTCTTTTTTCTACATCTGAACCTCCAACAGAACTTCCCTCCTCTCTTATTGCCTGGTCCCGAGCTGGCTGAAGGGACGGAGAGTTGAGAAACACCTTGCTACACGGCAGGGCAAGGGACAGCCACGTTTGCAGCAAACGATGCCACCCCTGACTGCAAATAAAATGGCTCCGTTTGCTGGAGCCAGAGAAAGCACCTAATAATTTTGCTTCTATGGAGAAAACGTTACACAGCAGAAGCAACAGGATTCATACTTCAAACATTTCAAAAATGTCCTTTAAAACAGAAAAAAGGGCAGTGTGCCCTTGTTGCCAAGAAGGCCAATGGCACCCTGGGGTGCATGAAGAGGAGCGTGGCCAGCAGGGCGAGGGAGGTTCTCCTCCCCCTCTGCTCGGCCCTGCTGAGACCCCACCTGGAGCACTGGGTCCAGTTCTGGGCTCCCCGGTTCAAGAAAGATGAGGAACTCCTAGAAAGAGTCCAGAGGAGGGCAACTCGGATGATGGGGGGACTGGAGCATCTCCCCTATGAGGAAAGGCTGAGGGAGCTGGGCTTGTTCAGCCTGGAGAAGAGAAGGCTGAGAGGGGATCTCATCAACAAGTACAAATATGTCAAGGATGAGGGTCACGAGGACGGAGCCAGACTCTTTGCAGTGGTGCCCAGCGCCAAGACAAGGGGCAATGGGCACAAACTGAGACATAAGAGGTTTCAGTTGAATATGAGGAAAAACTTCTTGACTTTGAGGGTGACGGAGCCCTGGCCCAGGCTGCCCAGGGAGGCTGTGGAGTCTCCTTCTCTGGAGATATTCAAAGCCTGCCTGGATGAAGTCCTGTGTAACATGCTCTAGGAGAACCTGCTTTTGCAGGGGGGTTGGACTGGATGATCTCCCGAGGTCCCTTCCAGCCCTTGCCATTCTGGGATTGTGTGTGATTCTGTGAAAACAAAAGGATTTACGGAAACTCTTTTGTGACATTCATCTCCGAGTACAAAACGTTTGTGCTCCCTGAAAACAAAAATAATTTTTCTTTAACAGATGTGGCTCAGTCCTTTTGCTGGCTTCATGGCACTGGGAAGCACAACGGAATCAGCTACCGATGGAAACAGCAAACAGATTGCTCCACATGACGTCCAGAGGTGAAGATGCCAAAAAAGTTTCCAGCTAATGAATAATTATTATTATAGAAATAGTAATATTAAATTATATAAATATTAATGTTATATTAAATAATAAAATTTCCAAATAATGAGACTATTCTGCGTTTTGGCCACCAGCCTGTGGCTGGGAATACCCAGACTGCAGAGGTACAGTTACACAGAGCAGTCACAGAATCACAGAATCAGGCTCTGAAGTGCTCAGTCGGCACCTTGCGCCGTGTAACACCACCCACCCTTTGGCCAAGGCGGCCGAGATCATCGCTTCAGGCCTTGGGAGGGTAATTTCCCCAAGGCTGGAGGTGACCTGCATAAATCACCAGGGGAACTTACAGTTGTGTCCCTTTTGTGCTCAGTCGGCACCTTGTGCCGTGTAACACCACCCACCCCTTGGCCAAGGCGGTCGAGATCGTCGCTTCAGGCCTTGGGAGGGTAATTTCCCCAAAGCTGGAGGTGACCTGCATAAATCACCAGGGGAACTTACAGTTGTGTCCCTTTTTCTGAAAGGCACTCTCAGCCAAGCAGCAGCCATGCCAGTAAAGAAGGCAGAGTTCCAGCTGTATCATGGTAGTGCAAGTTCACCAGGGGAAGTTTTGAAGAAAATCACTCATTTCCACAATAACCACACCAGCTCCATTTCCCCCCCGCCCTGTGGTAACTAAATTTTCCCCCCTTATCATCATCATCATCATCACAGTGCCTGCTTATGAAGCTCTCAAAGCCTAACCAGCAGCTCGGCCCGCTGGTTCCCCATGCCTGCAGGTAAGAACTTCCCTAGGATTTGAGAGGGGGGGAGCTCTTCAACTCCCCCCGCGGGCAGCCAGGAAGGACACATGGCTCACACATTTTCCCACTGCAGGGCAGGAAGATGCTAAATAGTAAAGCGTGCCTACCAAAATACTTTCAGCACCTCACCGAATAAGAAAGGGAGGACACAGCAACAGCCGCAGCAGCCCAAACAAGCTACTGCTGGTGTTCCTTTAGGAGTTGATTTGGAGGCACAAGACAAGGATGCTTGTCTGAGCATCTGTGTATCGTCCTTTGTTCTGGGCTTTTAACGGCCTGGGCTGGCTGTAGCTACAGTCGCGTGACTGGTACAATCGCCGCGGTGGTAGCCCAAGCTGCAGAACTGGCACTCGGAGGTCGAGCCTCCTCCTTACCCTGCCTTCTCTGGGGGCGTCCAGCAACGGGAGCTGGAGAACATCGGCTTGCAAATACACCCTCCCCTACATTTGTTACCATGGCTGAGCAGCGATCAGTTATTGCCAAAAACTAGTGTAGAACAGCATCTTAGAATCATAGAATGTTTTGGGTTGGAAGGGACCCCTAGGGGTCATCTAGCCCAACCCCCCTGCAGGAGCAGGGACACCGCTAACCAGATCACGTTGCTCAGAGCCTCATCCAACCTGGCCTGGAATGTTCCCAGGGATGGGGCCTCCACCCCCTCTCTGGGCAACCTGTTCCAGTGTTTCACCACCATTATTGGAAAGAATTTCTTCCTTATATCTAGTCTAAACCTACCCTGGTTTAGTTTGAAACCATTACCCCTTGTCTTGTCACAGCTGGCCCTACTAAAAAGATTTTCCCCACCTTTCCTATAGGCCCCCTTTAGGTACTGAAAGGCCGCACTCAGCTCTGCCCGCAGCCTTCTCTTCTCCAGGCTGAACACCCCCAACTCTCCCAGCCTGGCCTCATAGCAGAGGGGCTCCAGCCCTCGGATCATTTTAGTAGCCCTCCTCTGGCCCCGCTCCAACAGGTCCATGTCCT